CGGGCCAAGCAGCTGCGGTGTGGGCACCTGTTGTATCGCCCGATGTATGCAACACTGCTCGTGCCTACTGCGCAAAGGGTTCCAGCTCACGCTACGCACATGCGCGTACAGTCGGAGACAACGCTCAAGGGTGGGGGCCGAATCAGGACAGTAGTGGAACAACTCAGAGCACATGCCCCCGAGCATGGCCGCACATGCAGACACGCCGCTGAATCAGAACGCTCCGATATCAAAAACAGCCGCCCCTGCGGGGCACATGCCGCGCACATGCCCGCATAACGAGCGCACGTCGAGCGAAAATCGCCCGGACATGCCCCGGAATGGCACTAAGATCGTGATCCCCGTGTGCAATCGATTCTGCCTCCACGCTCGTTTTCAATCCGCCATCGTGTCCCCTGGCACGCTGAGGCATGGAATAATGCCAAAGTCTGTCCAACTGTAGGGTTTCTCGAATTCTAATCAATCACGGCCCCTCCCTCTACCTGCAGACTGCCGCGTGCATTCCCCCGCTCACTGATGCCACCTCCCTCGTGCACGCTCGAGACGGTGCAATTCCAGCATGGCAGCTAATGCCTCGAATCCTACTCCCCGCGTGCGCGCTCAAGGATGGTGCAATTCCCGCATGGCAGCTTATGCCTGAACCCTCATTCCATGCGCGCCCGCTCGAGGATTGTGCATATCCCGCATGGCTGCTAGCTCCTAGAGCCCGCGTCCCACGCGCACCCGCTCGAGGATCGTGCACTTCACGCATTTCCAGGCGCTGCTCCCAAGCGCTCCAGGGCCTCGCAAGCCGCGATCCCTTGTTAAAAACAATGGATCCGAGTCCCGAGCTTACAAGACGGCCCGCACAGGCACCCAAAGACACCAAGATGGCCCAAGATGCCTCGGAGACGACCCAAGATGGCCCCAAGGCGGCCGAATCGTTGTCCAAGACGGCCCAAGATGCCTCCAAGAGGGCCCACAATGACCACCAAAGAACCTCCAACTGGGTCAGAAGAAATCAACATCATTGAATCCACTACGGATTTTGAATGAGTTTCGCATTCTCGCCGTTTCGGGCTGCTGTCAGCTCAAGAAGGCCCAAGGACTCCACGATGGTCCAAAAGGCATCCAACACGGCCTCCCGACGGCCCGACGGCCTAAGAGGGCCTCCAGTGGGACCCAAGACGGCCTTAGAAGGTTCTTCGACGGCCCCAGACGGCCGAACGGCGGCCCCCCCGAGACCCGTCATACAGCCAAGAAGGCCCCAAGACGGCCGAAGGGGGCCCCAAGTGAGCGTAAAAAGGCCCCAAGGCGGCCCAAGAGGGCCTCAAAGTAACCCCAAGACTGCTGCACAGGAGTTCAAGACATCGCCAAGACGGCCTAAACGAGGTTCATCACCACCGCCATCATCATCATCATCATCATCATCATCATCATCATCATCATCATCATCAGCATCATCATCAGCATCAGCATCATCAGCATCAGCATCAGCATCAGCATCATCATCATCATCATGCTCATTGTCATCATCATCAACATCACCATCACCATCAGCATCATCATCAGCATCATCATCCGCCTCGTCATCATCAGCATCAGCATCAGCATCATCATCATCATCATCCTCATTACAATCATCGACATCAACATCAACATCATCGTCAGCACCATCTTCATCATCTTCATCATCATCATCATCATCATCATTAGCATCGCCATCCTCACCATCATCGTCGTGATCATCACCATCACTACTTTCAATGATCATCATCATCGCCATCGCGTCATTATCATCATCATCATCATAATCGTCGACACCAACATCATCATCGACAGATGCATCATAATTAACATCAGCATGATCATACTCTACGTTATCGTCATCGCCGTCACCATCATTATCGTCATCGTCATCGTGGTCGCCGTCACCATCCTAATCAACATCATCACCATCGTCGTCGCGTCGTCATCAACATTACCAACAGCAAAATGATCATCGTCAGCATCCTCATCCTTATCCTCATCATCATCCTCCCCATCATCACCATCATCAGCACCGTCATCATCATCCTCGTTATCATTATCATCAACATCATCACCATCGTCATCAGTAACATCACCATCACCATCGAAATCGTCATCGTCATCATCAGCAGTATCAAGCCCATCATCATCATCATCATCACCAACATCATCATCATCATCATCATCATCATCACAATCACCATCACCGTCAGCATCATCATCAGCATCAACATCAGCATCAAAATCATCATCATCATCATCATCATCATCATCATCATCATCATCATCATCATCATCATCATCGCACTTACCCTCATAATCCTCATCCTCATGATCCTCATCACGGCCCTCTCCCAAGCCTGGAGACATGAATAGTCTCACGTGACGGCTTCCCAGGCACCCTCGAACAACCGCCACCCAGAATGCTGGGCTGGCACGGTTGCGGGACTTGCCGCAGGTAGACCGGTAAACATCATACCCTGCCAACCTAACTGGTGTCGACCAACCCCTCCAGCCTTGCCAAATAACGCCATGCCAGCACACCCGTTGTCTCAAAATCCCATGATGCAAAAGCCCCTTGCCATACACACAACGACCACGAGTGTGCGCACATGTCGGCATCAGACCAACCACTGCAGTTGTGTGCGATCAAGTCTATATGCACATTTTACCTCCGTGTTGGTTCTCGATCCCAGAATCTTGCAGGTGGTCTGCCCGCGCGCACGTGCTGACATCACATGCAACTTACATATGTGGTATCAGCAATCTCGTCCAGCGCTCACATTCTCATCATGCCACGTGCTCGCCATTGCTCGGACGTCCATTCCCTGTGTTTTTGCCAAACGATCAAGGATGCACCTCGATGGTCCTCGCCGAAAGAAAAATGCACACCTCCGAGCGATGCCAAGCGTGGTGCATCCATACTGCTCCAGCATGCGCGCAACGACCCGAACCGCATCGACTGACTCCATGCGGGCCACACGCGCGCGCCGCCCACCGCGCGCGTCGAAGCCACTCCACAGCTGAGGAAGTGGAGGAGGAGAAGGAGGAGTGCTGTCAGGAACATCTGGATACCTCCCGCGGTTTTCAACGAGGCGGCTGCCAGTAGTGCTGTTGGATGTCTGCGCGCGCGCACGCCCTTCCTGATCATCCTCATCAACAACGTCGCATCATCGCCATTATCGTCGTCGCCAGTCGCCGCCACTGCCGCCAGTCCCGACACAATTGCCATCATCACCGACACATGGAAATCGCCATCGTCATTGTCGTCACCAGCATCGGCGCCGTCAATGGTCGTGCCGTCGTCATCGCATTAATCGCCACAACCATCGCGAATAGCATCATCGCTGTCGCTGTTGTCGGCGGCATAATGTCATCGCGCCCGCCAGAGTCAAAGACTCGCATTGAAGTGCCTGCGCGCAAGCGCGGCCTTCAAGACGAGCTGGGAAGATCCCATCGGCAAGCGCCAGCGCCAGTTGTGCCATACCTACTGGCCGCTCTGCGCGCGAGCGCGCGCGCGCGCCAGCTCGGCCATACAGATGCTTCAGCAGGTGCCAAGCAGCCACTGCAATCGTAGACGAAGGGGTGTGGCCACACAAGTTTCGGGTGGGAGGGTGGGAGGGTTGCGCGATCAGTGGAGTTGGTAACGCAGTGCTGGTATGGTGAACTGCACCGCATAACGTCCACCGCATAGACTGCACCACAGTGCGCGCTCCATACAGCTTTCACCACACAGCTTGCACCATAGTAGATCATACCACAGAACTTGGACCATCCTTTTGGCAGCAGATGGACTGTACCGCGTAGCTTGCACCAAGTAGAGTTCACCACATAATTAGCAGTATACATGCTACACCAGACACAGATTACATCGGATTGCTTGCAACTGCCATATTGCACATCCAAGTTGCAACAATCTACTGGTTGATGTCCATGTCGGCTAACATACAACCGTAACATGTTGTGGAAATCGCGTGCGTTGCTGTGCGACCGAGAACCTACATTCTGAATGCTCCAATGAAACGTCTGCATGTCCGAACCAAGTGTAATACCGTGTTTGGCATGTCGTGCCATGCGGACGAGACGAACATGCTCGGTCATATGCTATGTCCGTGCAGGCGTGTTGTCACATTCTGATCGGGGGCGTCAAGCATCTTGACAGTCCAGCGTTACACGTTTTCATTTAGTTTGTAAGGGCACGGTTGATGCTAGCAAACTGTGCGTACAGCCGCTTCCTCATCCGCTTCCTCCTCCCCGTCCTGCTGCAAGCTCCAATTTGTGCATGTCTCGACCATGCAGTCGCGCCCCCTCTTCTTCCTCATCCTCATGCTGCTCATCCTCTTCGTTCTCGTTCCCTCCCCCATGGCCCCATCTCCCTTCATGATCCCTCCTTGCCCTCCATCCCCTCCGCCCTGTCACCCCCAATGACCAATGCTATCCTTAATCCGCCGCATCCCCCCTTCCCTTTCCCATCCCCTTCCGGTTCCCACTCAACCACCCAAACCCCTGTCCACCGCATCCATTATACATCCTCCTTCTCGCCCCTCCCCGCCCCTCCCCATCCTCCTTCTCTTCCTCATGATTGTCCTCTTCTTTGCCCTCCTCGCGCTGTCCTCATCATTCACCTTGCTCTTATCCGAGCCACCCCCCAGTCCTGCTGCTTCGTCAATCCCCTTCAGCTTCGTTCCTTTCCGTTCGGGCGTCCACTCGCCCGTTCCTCGCCCTCCCTCTCCTCAATTCCTTCTCGTCTACTCGCCGTCCATTTTACCCTCCCCACCTTCATCCTTCTTCCTCTTTCCGTTTCCTCCTTCTCTTCATCTTTCCCTCACCCTCGTCGCCGTGGCCCTTCTTTTCTCCTGCTTCCCTCCACCGCCTTCCGCTGCTCGCATGATACGCTTCTTTCGGCACGTGGGCACAGAACGCTCCAACGTTCCTGAATATGGGTCGCCTTGCTGACAACTTCCCCTGCCCCTCCTTCTCAATATTCTGCGTCATGTAGATGGGTTGCGTCTCCTGAGGCGAGCGGGCTGGAATCGAAACGCCAGGCGCTGCTACCATAACCTCTTCCTCTCCATCCTGGCGACCTGACGAACGCGATTCATTATCATCCTGCTGTTCCTGCTGATCTTCCCCCTGCTGCTCCTCCTGCTGAGCTCAGCTCCCCCTCCTCCTGCCCACGCCTCATCATCATCCACCCCGAAGGATGTGGGAGGAGGGAGAAGGGAGAAGAAACAGGAAGAGGGCTGGGAAGCGCGGACAAGAGCAAGGAGCACCAAGAGGACGGGGATGATGACTAGGAGCGAGAGAAGGAGACGAAAGGGGAGGTCGAAAGACGCAAGAGGCCCCGATGGACTGGCCCGCGAACATTCGCTCTCGATCTCAAATGCGCCTAGCGCGAAAACGCCGCGCGGTGATCTCAACAACACGAACATCCGTCAAAGAAGCCCTCAACGCGCGCGCGCGCTTCCGCAAACCGGGGGGAGGTGCTCAAGTTGGGCAAACCTCGGATACACACCGCCGCTTGATCAGGTGGGCCTGCGTAAACAGGAGGATGAGCTTCAGCCGAAGAAACCCTGCTCTATGTCGCGAATCGCTGACTTGCTTAAGTGCTATTCGTGCATGGCCAGAGCCTGAGGTGCGTTGCCGAGCCACTGCGGCGCGCGCGCAGGAGGACGAGGTCGAGGAAGACGAAGAGGGGGAGGAGGAGGAGGAGGAGGAGGAGGAGGAGGAGGAGGAGGAGGAGGACGACGAGGAGGAGGAGGAGGACGAGGAGGAGGAGGAGGAGGAGGAGGGTCGGGAGAAGGAGGAGGTCACAACGCATGCTTTGCCGTCCCCGCCTGCTCGCCCCCTCACGCGCGCAAGCGGTTCCCTGTTCGCATGCAAAACACGCAGGAAACCGAGACGAACTCTACAGGCAGGACGAATGGTTCGCGCGGCGCCGCCCAGCTGGAAATAGTAGTAACAACTCGACAGCGACACGCGCACCGCAGTCCGCCGCGCTCTTGCAGAGCGCGCCATTCACACCACGTCTTGGCGGGTCCTGCGCTGTGGAACAAAAGGCGCTATGCAACAGCGCAACCTCCGAACCGAGACGCTGCAGGACCTGGCAGCACGCCATCGCGCGCAAGGGTGACGCCAAACCTGGCCAGGCAAGAACGGGACGCGCCGCTGAGAACCACACGGCCTTGTGGAGGATGCCCTGTCCGTTTAGCCTGGAAGCTGCGCATCCGACGCACAGGACTGGAGAAAGTGGCATCCGCATGGAGCCTGCACAGCGGGGGCGAGGACGCCAAGCCCCCGCGGGCCTGGCCCCCCCAGCGAACCCAACGCGCGCAGGGCGGCCACCGCTCGGAGTCGCAGCCCCTCCAGGCCGCGATGCCCAACGTCCAGTGTTCCCAGCAGTGGGGAGGAGGAGCGGCACTGGCCAGCAAGAGAGAAGAGCGGGCAAGGGCAGCAAGGCAATCCGAGAAGAGAAAGCCAGAGGAAAAGACAACCATGGAGAAAAGGACGCCCGCCGCCCGTCAAGCGGGCTATCCCGACAACGGGCAGCGAGGCAAGCCACCAGCGATCTACAGAGCAGAACGGGCGGACAAATCCTGCCCCCCAAGAGGGAGAACGCTGCCACAGGAGAGGACAGAGGGAGGAGCGAGGAGGAGGTGAGGGTACATGCCGTTGGGGGTCCGTGGTGCTTCAAGCTTGAAATCTGAGCGGGCCCCTGGGAGCTGTATGAAGCTGCCCCCTGAACCGAACGCTTGTCGGCCCGAGAGACTGCCTGGGGCGGGCTCCTCTCGCTGCTGCAACACGGCTGCGGGCAGCGCTGAGGAGCTGCCCCGCTGCAGGGGCCCCTGCAAACCCATTGATCCGAGACCAGAGCAGGAGTCGGCGGCTGCCCTGACTAGCGGGCCATCGACTCTGAGGAGGAGGAGGAGAAGGAGGATCAGCGCGGCATAGGGAGCGGACGTCCGTCCACCCGCTCCCAGACGCCCGCGCGCCCCGCGTGGGGCCGTGGCGACGAGGCCCAGGACCCGACGCCCGCACGACCTCCTTGGAGCCGGAGGAGGAGGAGGAGGAGGAGGAGGAGGAGGAGGAGGAGGAAGAGGAGGAGGATGACAACTACTTACGTAGACTGACGGCGGCCACTGCACAATGGACGAAAGAACATGTGAATCACATGGCATGGCGCAAGACGTACTAACAACGACTCGGACTATTGAACATAGAACCGCCACCTGAACATGCACCACGCCCTACCACAAAAATCATATACGCATGACCGCAGTGTCCGCAGACACTGGCTACCAAGGAATCCTGAGCAATACGTACGACAAAATACCACCCAGACTCGGACCACGTGAGCGACCACGTGCTGGATGGACTGTGCAGAGCCTGCGGCATGAACTACCATACCAGACTCCGATTGCTCATACGCGTGACCCGCTGGAAACTTAACTGTGCCTTCCTCGGCAGACCTACCTTGACCAACTACCACATGAATGAACACTTGAACTGGATCAAGCGGACAAGGACGCTGCCGCTGCACTACGAAGAGGAGGCCACTACGAGGCAACAACCAAAGAACTGGCCATCAGAGACCAGAAAGCCGTACCGATACGACTACCTGAAGAAGAATGGAGAGACCACAAGCCAAGCCTTGCAATACCACAACAAGCACAACTTGACAAGGATATGGTACACATCACGGGTATCAACCAAAAGTTCCCTCAACGCAGGGCACACTACTCTCTCCACTTCTTCTCAGGCCGACGTGGAGGCCAATATCTACACAATGTTACCGAAACCGGCTCCAACTTCCCGTGAAAGTCATACGCCTCGACCTCGCTGATGACCCATACCGGGGGGACCTTTCACATTCGGAGGCAAACACATGTTGGACAGCACTTATGCGCGCTGGATTGGTAGCTGGTAAGCATGCTGTGCCGCCAAGCGGAACATGGAACGGTGCACGTTGGCTGACCTACAGGAACGACTAGACGACAGACCTCGACCACGACGCGACATACACGGGCCCCGGGGATAAAAATGCCTCAACGGAAGGGAAAAAGCACAGATACGAATAGAGAGTGAGCTCCCACGAATCACCGTAGAGTTCCTAGAGGTCCTTCTCAAAACACTTCTGCGATGTATGCCAGCAACAATGGAACAACCATCCACCCCAACCTGTCGGGCGAGGTGCGCTTCAACATGGAAACTTCTGGAGACAAGAGTCTCACTTGCATGCAAGGAGGTCAACACGATCAGCTTCGACCAGTGCATGTTCGACTGTTGCAGCAGAAAGTCCAACACACTACGATGCGTAAACCTACCTGGGTCATCTACCTGGGTCATCTACTATACTTGCACGACAGGAAAATCACAAACGTTGAACTTATCAAAAAACACCTCGCAGCCCTGGACATCGACAGTGTAGGCAACTTCAACACAGTCCCGCTCAAGAAGTACCAACCCGAGCTACGCGACACCATTCGCAGTCTCTACAGGTATGCTCGGACTCCACAACTACAACCTGGAGTAGCCCCAGGCTACTTATGTTCACAAACATCTCTGTTGATTATATAGCAAGCCGGATGCAAAACGTGAACTGCAAACCGATGTTGCAGGCAGCGCAATAGAACTACGCACTATAGACATTCCCCCGCTGGGTGTACAAGGCACAACGACAGAGATCGCAGACGAAGAACCACATTACCGAGTAGATGCGATACATGCCACACCGACGCGGGACTGACTAAGAGCAACCATAGAAACGCATGCAACCACGTATGCCATCCGACCTGCTACTACACCGATGCTTAGTGCAGTACCAAGAAATATCACGGGACAAATCTGCTTAACACTGCTGGTCCGTACGTGTGCATCTACATGCTCCGTAGATGCGATTCTGGCTCACCCACCGCTCAGGCACCAGTATCGGCAAGCTACCCACCGTCCAGGGACCACTGCCTCGATGGCTGTCACCATGCAGTACCACGCGACTGAAGTGAGAAACGGTGCCAAGTGCGGGACCTTGTTTATGGAGGTCTGCGTTTACGACGCCGATGCAATTGCGCCACCCTCTACCATTCCGCAGGCCGTCGACAATATGGGGCCCATGGTGCGAGCGAAAATATATACACTGATGTACGACGACTACGACAACAAAGATCAGATCTGATTCAGCATCAGTCATGTTGCCGCAGCGGTGAAGCACTACATGAAGCGCTCCCAGCACAAGGTGTTGAAAATCTAAAATGCTCAGGGGACTACGTTGGGAACGCGTACACCATCGACCGCCGCCCCAGATCTTTCCACGCCGGGAACAGCATGGCGCCGATTAACCCAAACTTCTTGGTCCCTCACCAATGTTACATCTACATGGCCACACAAAAAAACTGCCCGCAACATGTTAACGTGAAATTCTACAATGTGCACACGGGCGAAATTCTACGGCCTAGACTGAGAATTTGCCCGTCGGCCTCGCCACGGAAAACTGACGGGCCTAGCTAGCCCCTTGAGAAAACTGCAGCACGAGGTCAAGAACTTGGACCAAATAGAGGTGTACGACTATATCCGCATCTGCAACGAGTTCGGCAAGCACATCGAGGAATATAAGTGGAAACGCGTCAAGAGCCAGGACACGGACTTCAAGCTCGCACGGTTCTTGGACACCACCTTGGAGGACCACTACGTCGGCGATACCCTGAAGCTGGAGGGCAAGGACGCCGTGTACGGCAACGTGAAGTACTACGAGAGGGTATCCGTGCTCACCAAGCGCGAGTACGACAACCAGGACAAGCAGTACGGGTACCACAAGGACATCGAGGACGAGTCTACGCCATCTGGCGCCACAAGCTGTCCTGAGTGGATCCGCCCAGTACGGCAAGGTCTACTACTTCTCCTGCTCGTCTACCAGAACAAAAGATACATCCTTATCACTCCTCCCTTGCCTCCCCCCGTCATGCATCACTACCAAAAACATCAGGAGGTATACGGATCAACATCTGTGCGCGTACCTGGACACCCAAGGACAACCGCGAGCTTGCCTACACCTTCACCATCTTTTGGATTTCCCACCTAGCCGCCTACGTACTCTGCTCCATCATGCCAACCAGTGTACCTGAACCTTAATCAATCGATGCAGACGCTCATTGGTCCTCTACGAAGATATCGTCTCAATACCAACCTACGTACATACTGAATACATGCAACATGTCCAGTGCGAAATACAAGCGCATCGACGATACCCCTGGAGAGCGCCTGCAAACCAAAGTTGGCATCTGGCTACGCGACCTACCGTACCAGAACAACTGGATACAGCTTGTTGCAAAGGTTACCCACGGATGTTACGACAGGCAGTACTTCAAAATCAGCGATATAGGACAGGCACTGCATCAGCACTTCAAGGACCTCTACGACAAGCGTGTCAATGTTTACAAAGCCAAATTCGTTGAATGAACTTGCGAAGCTACTATCGGTTACCGCCCCGCAAAGCCACATTACGGGCAAGAACCACCACAGCCCCTGCGAGATGGCGACTGGCATGCCACTAAAAAACTACATCCTTGTGGAGAGCCAGCCATCCATACAACGCGGCAGTGCGGATCCACTACTACATGCCATGGTGCCCTGAAAAAGGAGGACTACGTCACGCTCGAGATTGGCACAGGACCTCCTATTATCGGAGGGAACAAAGAGGCAAACGCTGCCAAGTTATATAGTCAACAATACGATTCGGACCCAGAACAGTACACCCATATGAAACCATGAACTACAACGAATACGACTTGACCAACGAAGCCAAGCTAAAATACCAACCCACTATTACAGGAGGCACTGCGTATTTCATGGACTTGCGGAACTGCAAGGGTAACCACAGGAATTCTACAAAACCAACGGCCTCCCATCTCCAGCAGGTGCGCACCACAAACGCACCGTGCAGACGACCCAGTACACACGGACACGCCGAGCGTGCGCGTGGCAGTACCCAGGAAGATGCTCACCAGAAAGTGCTACGCAACATTACCAGAACATACATTGGTACTCCGCAACTGACACCATACCGCAGTACCGAATGCCTGTGATTAGGTCGGGCCTGTCCCCCTACAGGGGAATTTGGGGCGAAAAAAACATAATGCTCCAAAATGATCAAACAATACACAAACATCGTCCCCATACTATGTTCTGACTATTTCCGAATGTTCCTCCTGTAGAGGAACACGCCCGACTTAAGCCTATGACGTATTGCATCTACAGCGCCACGGACAAGGCAGGCCGTGCACGCCGCGCGTAGGGTGCGCCGCCTTAGCAATACTTACCGACCCACGTCGCAGGAGCGGTCCTGCCGCGCCTCCCGTCCACCCCCCATCCCCTTCGCTGCGGGTCTCCGGATGGCTCAAGGGACGGGCGGGTGGCTTCTCCCCCTTAAGTCGGGCGTGTCCCCCTACAGGGGGAGTTTGGGCGACAAGTAAAACATGCTGAACAAAAACACCCCCCAGATGGGCAAAACTAGTCAAAAAGTCGTCCCCAATTCATTTTTTGACTAGTTCTGAAAACTCCTCCTGCTGAGGGACAGGCCCGACTTAACACTCCCCCTCCCCCCCCCCCCCCTCGCCAACGGGGCCTCCTGGTGGACCCGGGGGGGGCCCCCGCGCCTCCCGCCCAAAGGCGCGCCCTTTGGCGCGCGGCGGCGCGGATCGGTGCGGCGCGGGGACGCTCGGCGGCGCTGCGAGAGAGCGAGAAAGCTCAGCCCAGGCGCGGGGCCTCGCGATGGCACCCGCCGCGCGGCCGCCGCCGGCCGTGATCGAGCTGGAACAGAGGGCCAAACATCCACCCCTGGAGTGACCACCCCGACGAGCGCGGCCGTGCAGCAAACGCGCTCGAACAGGGCGGGGGGCTGTTCAGGCAACGCCCAGGGCCGTCTCGTAGACGCTAGTCATGGGGTCCGCGTGATTCTTCTTCTTCTTCGTCTTCTTCTTCTTCTTCTTCTTCTTCTTCTTCTTTCTTCCCTTTATGGAAGGAGCTCCCCCCTCGAGCCGTGCAGAGGCCCGCTGCTCGGGCAGCGGCGCGCCTGCTGGACCCAGGCCGCACGGCGGCAGGCCGCCGTGCGCGCCTCCGCGGCCGCCGCCGGCCAGGGCCGGCTCCTGGGCCCTGGCGCGTGGCGCGCGCCCTCCCGGCCGAGGCCAGGAGTCGAGCAGGGATGGACTGTCCCGATCTTCCTAAAAGGCCTGCCGCGATATTTTTTGAGAGCCCAGATCATGGTCGAATAACGGAGCCACGTTCGTGGAACGGAAGCCCGACGTGTCAAAACCGGACGGCCTCGGCCGGACATGTTCTGAGAACCTTTCGTGCAGACCACAGAAAAGGTTCTTGGGACCTTCTTTGGTGGGCACCGTGCCGGGGCCCGGACTGGCCCCTGCGGGGCACGGGTGGACGGCCGCAGACTCTGGGAGAGCGCGTCGCCCCGGCGGCCCGGGCGACACGCTGCGCCCCGCGAGCGGGCAGCGTGTCGCCCCACTCCGCGAGGCGGGAGGCTCGGAGAGGCTCGGGGCGTTGCCGCCTCGGGACCTGGAAATGGACAGCACGTCGCTCCTGAGCGCGGTGGGCCAGGACCGGCAGAACGACCCGGCATCCAAAGGTTCTCGGCCGTGCAGATGCCCCCCTGAGGATCTGGGAGCCATGCGGAGGCTCTGCTCGGAAAAGAAGCGAGCTCGCACGACAGACTGTTCCCTCGTTGCTGGTATGTTCTGCGCAGCTCTGAATGAGGGGGAGCGGATGGAATAGCGACCCAGCACCTCAGTGAAGCCGTACACACCAATGACGCGCAGACGGAAAAGGGAGCAAGCAGGGAGTGAGCTCAGGCGTGAATTCACAATGCTCGCCTCGGCAATGCTGTGTCACCACGGCGCACTTACTGAAGCGGAAGATCTGTTTCACTTCCTGACAGGCTGGGGGCTGTGGTGGTACTGATTATCTGAATGGCTCTGTTTCGGCGGAGGACAAACCTCCCTTTAGTAGACCTCCCCGTCGTGAAAACGGCCTGGGACCGAAACGGACGGACCTGGACCCGCAACAATGACGGCCGCGACGCCCTCTCGCGAACCGAAAACGGTCAATTCCTTACCCCTAACTGTTTTGCGCGTGAGTCTTCGGCAACCTTCGGCAGAGTGCCGCAAGAGCGCCACGAAGACCCTCGGCGGCGTCTGGGTACCACTGTAATGGCCCAAGCGTCGGCTCGGGCACCTGTAAAACGCGGGAAGGCGCGAGCCTTTCAAGCTTGTCGAGACACTCGCACATGCTAGACCTGTACAATCGCCAGCTGCGATCAGATGGCTGGCCCAGCTTTCCGCCTCATTGGACGGGTTAGGGGCGAGTTTAGTTGGCAGCTGCACCACTGAGGTCAAGCTGAATTCTTTGCTGTCGAATCTTCGCTGCTGCTGGCCAGACGGATGTTCGTGGCTGTACCTACTCTGTACGAACTAGAATGCGAGGGAAATCATCCAAACATCCGGGCACATCGCAACGGTGGTCACTGTCACATCAGCCTGACTACGGAGATCTCCATGGTGTTGCACCCCTGCAGTCCAAAGAACGTAATGGCCTTACGTGCGTTCAGCACGAAGAAGCTATACAGCTGGATCCTCAGCCTCACGAGGGCGCCGTGCTCTGCACGTGGGGCGTAATGCAGCTTGCAAAGGACGATGGTGGCGCTCCTGCGCAGCTGCCACTGCTGCCACACCTGGCCACCAAGCTCAGGATCAGCGCTGTTCTGCGCTGACTCCATACTGGCACCGCGGCGCTGATGGCAGGGAGCGTCGACACCGAGGCCCGGCTGTGCGAAGCCGAGGAGCGGGGCAAGCATGGGGTGGCCCTCCAAATGCTCGCGCGCTACTCTCGCCATTGCGGTGGGCACTCCAATGCGTGCGGCAGTGAGCGGCTCGGCGTAGCCAAAATGAAGAACGATAACGAACACGCCTTCACCGTGTGCCACGAAAGAAGAACGCTCGGCCTCGACCACGAAAGGAATATCCTCGAACTTCACACTGAGCAAAACGATGGCCTCCGGAAGCCAGCCCATTGCGGCCAGCGCTCCAACTGTGCGAGGCACCCTCCACTCGCACGCAGTCATGAACACGCATGCAGTAGGTGTGCGCACCAGCCCACCTGACCCCAAGATCCGCAACAAGCCAGGCACTGTGGAAACGGTGGCAAGGCACGGTGCTGTGACTTGTTCCTGTGGCGTACTGCCCTCAGAGCTTACTGCCATGTCCCTCGTTAACAGCACGCCCTCGTTCTTCGCCTCCTCTGCGAAAATGGCCTCCTCGTAGTTGCGGCCCCAGCGGTGCGTGTTCATCAGTAGGAGCAGTGCCGCAGCAATCACCAGGGGAATCCAGCCTTTGTCCAACAGCTTCGCGAGGTTGGCCGAACAGACAGTCAGGTCGATCGTGATCATTGGCAAGATGACCGATGCCACTGCCAACCAGCGCCAGCCCCACACCTGCCGGAGCACCACGCTGAGAAGGCAGGTGGTGACAACGAAGCAGCAAGTGACACAGATTCCATACGCGTTGCTGAGATTCGCAGAAGTCTGAAAGATCACGCAGGTTACCACGCAAGCAGTGCAGAGCGCCCAGTTTATTTCTGGTATGTAGACCTGTCCCTGCTGGTGTGGGTTGGTGTGCAGAATCTGAAGGCGTGGAACCATCTTGAGGGCGCACGCCTGGGTGAACATCGTGAAGAGTCCAGTGATCAGAGCCTGTGAGGCAATGATTGCTGCCAAAATTGACAAAATCATCATTGGGACCCCGAGGCCTTCTGGGACTGCATTGGTGAAGGCATTCGCAGAACCGGCAGGATTGATGCAGATCATGACGGTCTGGCCCATGTATTGCAAAACTAAGCAAGGGTAGACCAGGCCGAACCATGCAAGCATGATTGGTCCTGCACCAAAATGTCCCATGTCCGCATAGAGAGCCTCGGCGCCCGTCACAGCAAGTGTCACCCCGGACAGAGATTGCCACGCCCTCAGTCCAGCGAAAGAGCCAGTCGTCCAGAAGGTCAAAATATTCCCTGGGTTCAGGCCCAGAAAAACTGCCCTCGCTGCACCTGGATGCTGCAACAAATTGAAAAGGCCGAGGCCACCAATTGCGAGAAACCAGACCACCATGACAGGGCCAGCAACGATGCCGATGACCTGAGAGCCGCGTCGCTGGATCACGAATATGAAAATTAGGACGGTCATCGCGATGAGGACGCGTTCTCCTGTTGGCGCAGATGTTGTCTCGAAAGCCCCAAGCACCGTCTGCACAGGCGTGATGACGCCATCTCCAGCGATGAAAGAGCCGCCCAACATGGCCATAAACAAAACTACTTCGCGGCTCCCCCCCGAGAGTTTTGGCTCTCCCTGCTTGCCCTTCTCGGCCGTCAAGACCTGTGTTATCGCGAAAATGCCGCCCTCACCATGGTGGCTGACACGCATCAGCACCCCCAAGTACTTGAAGCAGACAACGAAGGTCAGCAGCCAAAAGATCATGCAACACACCTGCACTGCCTCCTCCTGTGATGGACTTGGTGTGTCCAGGTCGCCAAAGATGCTGCCCAAAGTGTATAATGGTGAGGTACCTATGTCGCCGAAAACGACCCCTGTGGCGCCCATCGCCATCAGCAGCTGGCTGCCACGACCATCGGCGGCAATGGAGCGTTTCGACAGTTGATCCTCCTGCTCCTCTGAAGGCCGCCCACATGGATGCTGGATTCAGTGGGGTAAGAGCTCGCGCCGCATTGCCGATGCACTGGCCATGCATCGACGACGCCGCGCAATCCTCCGACCCCATATTGACCAGGGACCGACCGTCCCGGCTTTCCTGTATGCCTACCACGAATGTTCTTAAAACGGAGGAATGTTCCAAGAACGGAAGCAATGTTCTTAGGTCATAAGACCGGCTGATTAAACAAAACGGTCGCAACCAGACATGTTCTAAGAACCGTGCGAACCACAAAATATTATTAGAACATTCATTGCTGGACCTACGTGCTAGTCAAGACGCTTCGCCACTGCTTTACCATAAACTCCAGCCCCATCTGGGCGGACTGGATCCTGGCACGGCAGCCCCCACCGGCAGTCTGCCGCCGAGCGCCAGAGGCCCGGCGAGGCACCTCGAGACACGCTGTGCGGGGACTCCTCGCTTTGAGGGCGTTGGTCCATGCTCGCAGGCTGGTGCACTGGCGCAGTATGCACGACGCCTGGCGCCATTACGCGCGGGTTGCGCGATGGCCCGCCTATGCAATCTTCCAGCCGCCAGGCCTGCAGGAGAAAAAGGAACCTTCCGCTCGAGCCAGTGCACTTGGCCGAAATGCGAAAAGACCCAGGCCGAATGCCGTGCCAGGAACAATCGTGTCGTGTTGTGTATGCGAGAAGACCCAGGTTGGTCACAAGGCTAGTGATACTTACTCGCGAAGCAGTCTGCGACTGCAAGATAGCCGCTGGTGCGCGAATCTTCATGAGCACGATCCGCGTGGAATCGGACCTCGAGATGCGACTTCAAATCGTTCAGTTCACAACCTTCTCCAATCATGCAAACGCCGATATCTACGCGGAGTTCACGCGCGTAGGCGGAACTTATGCGGCGATTTCGCGGCGCCTACGCGCACCGTGCGACCGCGGCGCAAAATTTAAGCCTTATCTGGCCATCTTGGAACGCTCTTGCGCTGTCTGTCCAAAACCAAGCGTTTTCCAAATTATGGCAACAAGCTGTCTGAGTCACTGAGCCACGAGGTCCCCCTGCTTAGACAGTCTAGCCGTGCCCGGCGCAGAAATGCGTACATGCATGTATACTGCTTCGTCGAGAGAACAGATTCGACAGGGGAGGGATGACGAGGAGGAACTTCTTCTGACGTGGAGCCTTACGAGTAGCTTACGCAAGCGCCTCCTCCTCCTCCTCCTCCTCCTCCTCCTCCTCCTCCTCCTCCTCCTCTCGCGCGTGCGGGGGGCCGCACTCTGGCGCGGAGCTTGCGCGTTTCCTCCCTGCCCCCGCCTTTCTGTCCCAGCCTCGCCCTCCCCGAAGTGCTCTGCCGTGCCAGCCGCCCTCGCGCGCATGCCCGCCCGCTCGAAACTCGCGCCTGCGCGGAGCTTCCGCGCCCGCGCCCTCACGGGGAGCCTACGCGCCTGCGCGGAGCGTGCGCGCTTACGCGGGGGTTACGCGCTGACGCGGCGCTTCCCCGCCCGGGCGTCCTGCTGCGGCGAGTTCGCCCGGACATTAGACGTAGATGGGGCCCTGCGCCCGCTCGGCTGAAGCCGTCCCGCGCAACACCGTGCAACTCTGCAGGGGGCCCCGCATGGATAGGGGCCGGGCGCCCGCTCTCTGGCACCCGCTCTTCCACGTGAGATGCCCCCCCACTGACGTGGAGAAGGGGGTGCTGGACCCCTGGGGGGATGTTGCTCCCACCGTGCGTAAGGACCCCCAGAAATGATTTCGAGCACCCCGAAAAGCGTCGGAACCGTGTCGGACGAGTGTCTCCCCGGGCCCGACGCGCGGAAACCTTCGCGTTCCAGTATTTTTTTCTGAGGGCTCGAAGGTCTTGCTGGTGGCCGAGGCTAGAAATGTGGGCTGGAGCAGCACAGCCCCGGGGGCTCGGCGTGCCACCCTCCTCGCACTCTCCCCCCCGCTCGTGCCTGTTGGCGAGCGCCTCGCGCGCGGCGCCCTCTCTCTGTGCGGAGCGATCTGGGCCCCGAGCCGCACCACGGCAGGAGGTCGGGCCCGCGGGCGTCGGGCCCCGTGCTGGCCCCAGGGGGGTGGCCTCAACATGGCGCCGAGTTGGTGCCAAGGTGGCCCCACTGTGGCCGACGATGGGCCACGCGACGGCCCAACGGACTGCACACGCGGCCCAAGGATGGCTGACGAACTTCCCCCCCGGATGCTCCCAAGAGGGCCAGCATCCCAGAACAAAAAACGCACCTGCTTGGCTTGAGAACGTTGGCCTTCCCGCCTGTGCGGGCTTCGGTGGGCGTCTCGGGCCCCGAAGCGGTCGAAAGAGGGCCACGAAATAGCCTTAAGGAGGCCCCCGACCCTCCCAAAGAGGACCCTCTGAGAGAGCCCAGGATCAGCCCAACAACGGGGATCAGTGCGAGGCAGCTTCAAAGATGTCCCCAAGACTAAAGGCCCCTTGAGAGGCCCCAGTGATGCCCCTGAGAGTGCGCAAACATCTCCCGAATATCTTTCAAATGGCCACATCGTACAAGGGAAAACATAGGTGTCGACCTTTCTGCCCCTGCGATCTCCAATGGGCTTCTCGGCCTCCTTGCTGGCCCCAAGAGATCCCCAGAGACCCTTGTGAGGGCCCCAAGACTCCCCGAGAGGGCCCAAGAGGGCTGCAAGAGGGCCCAACGAGGCCCCACGAACGGTCCAAAAGCTGAGGCCTGTGGGAGGCAGGCCCCGAGATTGCCCCAAGAGGCCACATGCTGACCCAACTGTGCTCCAAGACTGTTTATGCCTCTGCCGGCTCTACTGGGCTTCTCATCGGCCCTTGTGGTAGCCGCAAGAGGACCCCAAAAGAGCCCAGAGGCAGCCCAAACGAGCCCACGCGTGGCCCACCAGCGGGGACCAGTGGGAGGCCAGCCGCTAAAGAGTGCCCCAAGGCAGCTCCAGGAGGCCTCACGATGACCCCAGTGTGGCACAGGATAATCCAAGACAGCCCCAATGGTCCAAGACGGTTCCTGGAGGCCCGTGAAGCCCTTCAGAGGCCCCTGGGAGGCCTGCAGGAGCGCCCCCAAGACCCCAAAGAGTTACCCAGTATGCTGCGACAGCCAACGAAGCGGTTTTGCATTGCCTTCTCGTAACTTCGGCCACTGATGGCGAGACTTGGCTGGGGGGCGTGGTCGGTTGAGTGTGGCACTCGATCTACCAAGCGGCTGCTTCTCCTCCGCGCGAATCTCAAACGACAGATTGGGGAGCCTACCACCACCCAACAGCTCGCCAACGTCTACGAGCACGCGTGCACATGCCAAGGACGATGCCGCATGGGACGGCGGAGTGCACGAATCGAATGCATTCGGCGGGCCCCCTGCGGGCCCTCGCCGTGTTAAGAAGCAACGTTTGGTGATGATGGGTGGTCGGATGGAGGATATATAACGATTACATGCTTAAACGCATGCTGCGGACGGCTCCGCACGCTCCGCTTGGTGGTTCGGGCCTGTAAAGTTTGGGAGGGGCAAGGCCGCGACGGAGTCGTACTCCCAATCTCTCGGCAACCTCATGTCGGCACACCCCTCACGCACTTCGTGTGCCATGGACTCAGGCGCCCTCTATTGTGCCCTCAAGATGGCTCAGGGGAGCCTCATTTCGGCACACCCCTCACGCACGTCATGGCCAGTGGACTCCCTGAGGCCCTTAGCTGGCACCTCAGGAGGCTCCAACGGCCTCGCGGAGGCCACTGAAGAGACAACAAAATATATCGCTTGGCACCGGCACTGCAACACGGTTCCATTCCACGACGGACGCCAAGACGCCCCCCCTCCCCAGGTGCAGCCAAAATGCCCTCCGAAAAAAACGTTCAAATATTGGCCCCGAGTCTCGTCGATGCCGTACCCCGAACACAAACTGACTGCGAGATTTTTCGTGCTCGTCCCGAAACAGGCCCCGCGGGTTCAACCCGGCGCGCCCAAGTGCTGGTCCTTGCCGTATTGGACCGCGAGGGTAGACCATGACATGGAATGGTGATGGGATGGCGGGCTGTGAGATTGCACTCGAAAAAGCCTGCCACGGGCGGGTGTGCGTATTCTGCTGGCCCGTAATGTAATCCGCTGGCCTCCCACGTAAAGTCGCACCTTGATTCTCCTGGGGGGGGGATTTCGGCACACCTCTTCACGCATGTCGCCATGATGGCCCCCAGAGGCGCTCAACTGGCGCCTCAGGACAGCTGGGTAGAGCGCTTCGATTCGGCACAACCCTCACGCACGTCGTGCCTCATGGGAGGCGCTCAACTGGCCGTTCACGACAGCCCACTAGGGCCTCATGTCGGGATACCCCTCGCGCACTTCGTGCCTCATGCCCCCCCCCCCGTGCTCAGCCGGCTCCTCAAGACGGTTTAGGTGAGCTTTGATTTGATCCACCGCTCACGCACTTCGTACCCCTCCATATGCACTGGGATAGCCCCGCATCGCGGCACCTTGGATCGTAGGTTAGGGCTCCTCCTGCTCCTTCTGCTCCTCCTCCTCTCCGTCCTCCTCCTCCTTCTCCTCCTCCTCCTCGACCTCGTCATCTTCTTCCTCCTCCTCCTCCTCCTCCTCCTCCTTCGTCGTCGCCCCCGCAGGCCCCGTGTCGGAACCCGTCGCAAGTGTTTCTGGGTATAGGTAGGGCAGGAGGGAGGAGAAGCTGGATGAGGAGGAGAAGGGGGAGGATGAGGAAAGGACGGAGCATGAGATGCGCAAAGGAAGGGGAAGGGCAGGGAGAAGAAGGAGGAGCGGCTCGAGCAGGAGGACGAGGCAGCCGAGGCAAAAGGAGAGAGGAGGGCCCCGCCCTCCTGCGTGGTTGCGAGGCCAGGCGCGTTTCGCGCAGAATTCCGGGTTTCGGTGGGGATTCCGGGTTTCGGTTTGCATTCTGCATGGGTTTCGCGGTTCTGAGGGATTCTGCGTTTCGCGAGGAATTCTGGGTTGCGAGTGCGGGATTACGGGTTTCGCGTTTCGTGCGGAACTTCGGGCTTCACCTGAAAAAGTTCCAGGGTTAGCCGCGATTCCTGGGTTCGCCTCTCCACCGCATGGACGGTGTCTCGATGGTGTCAGGAGACTGCAAGGATTCCTCTGCTTCACTCCTCCGTGTCTCACAAGTTTTAAAACATGCGTCGCAGCACACACGCATGCTTTCCATACACAGCTGTGTATTGGAGATTTGGGGTGTGAGATCCAAAGGAAGCAGAGAACCCCCACGGGAAATCGGTTTCGGTTTTGTGACGCGTGTGCGGGCGGCCCGATACTGCGTCGGCGTTGCTAGGGTTAAACCAGGCCAAATGATGCTTGCCCACCCCCCGGCTGGCCGGCGGTAGCCCGGGGGGGGTCCCGTCGGCTGGCTGGCGGTGACTTGGGGTTCTTCCGATGGTCTCGATGGTGTCCCGATGGTGTCTCGATGGTGTCCCGATGGTGTTTCGATGGTGGCACTGATTTGTCCCGAGTGTGTCCCGACGGTGTCCCGTCGCATTTGTCATCAGTTCCCCCCCCACAAACGACCTCCTCATCACCCGAGGAGTGGTCGTATGGGTATTCAATTCGGCACACCCCGCTCTCGGATATCTAGGTGTGCTCAGTTGCTGCTCAGGACGGTGCAAGCGAGCCTGACCTCGGATTATCACTCACGCACTTCGTGCCCCATGGATGCCCAATGACTCCCATCTTCCCCCCTCAACCAAACTGCCCCAATGGGGGCCCACAAGAACCCAAGAAGGCTACAGGAGGCCCCGGCTTTTCAAGGGAAGCCAGCCTCAAGATAAGCATTGCAACGATGGGTACCGACCTGCGTCAGAGCCCAAACACCAACTGGTTGCAATATTTCTTTATAGGAAGACAAGGGAGCGCGACCATAGAGCTACACCTGACTCGGTATCGATCGCTGTGCAAATCAAGACGCCGCCAGGCAACATTGGAACACTACACAAGCCGACCTGCGATAGGCAAACTCATGCACTGAGCTGTGGCCCGCGAGACAAACGAGCGTGCCGCATGCGTGAACAGAGGAAGAAGCGAGGAGAAGAGAGTGACACAATATGATAACCTACCCCCAAGTTAACTTGAGCGACGCGGGAATTGGACTAGGACGTGCAGGTTCGCTCTACGAGCGTACGTCATCACGCGTGCATCGACCTTGTTGTGAGGAGCAGCCCGTTACCCGCAAAATGCGATACGCAATGACGGGGTGTTCCAGACCGATCGAAGTCACGCAAACTAATTCGAGGGAGGCAGAGGGGAAGAGAAGGATAAAGAAGCACGTGGTCATTCACGCGCCTGGCTTGGATGATGGCTTCAATTGGGCACACTTCGACGTCTCAGCTCTCCGGCCCACTGGTTGCTAGATCTGCGTGCTCGTTTCCCTTTGGGGGGGCCTTCGCCGTCCAAGACGCCAAGGGTAGATGCTGAAGTGATGGTGGTACGGAGGAGCATCGTGAGATTGCACGCACACATCCATGCTAGGAGCGGCTCCGCGCATTCCGTCCCTCCAGCCCCCCTGGGGCACGAACACGTACGAGTTACCTGCGCTCGCGGGGCCACGAATGAGCCAATTCGGCACACCCCTAACGCATGCCCTGCCACGTGTACCCACAAAGGATATCCACTGCTTCCTCAAGGCGGCCCACATGAGCGAAAGCCCGACGCACCCATCACGCATTTCCTGTCCTAGTGACCTCCAGAGGTGCTCAGCTGGCCGCCAAGACGGGCGGCTGAAGGGATCAAATAATTTCGACAAGCCCACCACGCGCTTCGTGCCTCATGGACTCACAACGGCTTCTAGCTGGCTTTCCAAGGCGGCTGAAAGGAATACACTGTCGACACACCCTCACGTCCTTTGCGCCCCTCGGACATCCAGCGGCTGTCAGGTAGCTTGTCGGGACGGCTCACGGGAGCCTCATTCTGGCGTGCCCATTGCGAATTTCGTGCTCCGTGGCCCCCCAAAGACCCTCAGCAGGCTCCCAAGAGGCTCCGGGAAGGCCCCACATGGCCCAAATAGGCTACAAGGGGGCTCCAAGGTGGCCACGCGGATGCTACTCGAGAAGCATCGGGCTGTCACGATCGGCGCCGTCACTGCACAACGCCCCCCCGCAATCCCCAAGGGATGCCAAGACGCCACCCCGACAACAAGAGACACATTGCAACAATTGGTGCCGACCCTCGCTGGACCTGTATGCGAGGCGGGGATTTATCCATATCCACCGCCTGGGAACCGACGTCCTGGTGCCCCAGCGGGCGGTGGATATGGATATATTTCGGCCCCCGGGGGCCCGAATCTGTCCACATCCAGCGCCTGCCGAGGCTCCGAAAACTGACCCTCCAGGCGGTGGTCATGTATACATTCCCGCCTCGGACTGTACCCTCGAACGCTGGTTGATTATACGAGAGTTTGCGTAGCCGTGCACCCCCGGGGGGCCTGCCGTGAATCCCGCTCTGCGGGCTCCGTGCGGCGGTGCCCCCCCCCCCCCCCCATCCCCTGCAAGAGCGTGAAGCGGGAGCAGGGCGGCCGTCTCAGCGTCGGGCCACTTCTCCTGAGAACCTCAAATCGGCACGCCCTTCGCGCACTTCGTGCACAACGTATCCCCACAAGGGCTCGACAATTCTGCTGTGATCCTGATTCCGGCACACCCCTCACACAGATTGTGCTGCATGGTTTCCCAGGAGTCCTCAGCTGGCCTGTCAGTGGGGCCTCATGTCGCCACACCCAGCGCGCATGTCGTGCCTCATGGGCCCCCAGCAGCGTTCAAAACTTTTTACCTGGAGCATCATCGGTGCAGCCCTCACGCACACCGTGCCCCGTGCTCCTCCAGAGGCGCTCAGCTGGCCTTGCAAGACGGCTCAGCAGGGCCTCAATTCGACACGCCCCTCACACAATTTGTGCCCCGTGGATCGCCAGACGCGCTTAGCTTGCCCCGAAAGGCTGTCCAGTGGGGCCTCACCTCGGCGTACCCATCACACACTTTGAGCCCCATCGGCCTTCAGAGGCACTCAGCTAACCCCTAATGGCAACTCATGGGATATTCAATTCGGCACACCGCTTGCGCATTTCGCGTCGCATGGACACAAGACGGCTCAAGCGAGCAATTCAGAACCCCTCTCACGCACTTCGTGCCCCGTGGATGCCCACTGCCCCTCCAAAAGGTCCCAAGCACGTGCCCACACTCGACGAAAAAGGCCACAGGAGGCCCGACTCATCATAGGAAGCCAAAATGGCCCCGAGAGAAACATTGCAACGTTTGGTAGCGACCATCGTCAAAACTGTACCCCCGGACACCCACTGAATGCGATATGCATGCCGCCGTGACTCCCGCACTGCGGGCTCAATAAAACCTTCAGCTGGCGATCTGAATATGTGCGTATGGTTGTCTGTCCTCGTGACAAGATGCTCGACTCACTGAGGCTGCAATGCGCAATTTGGACTGCTCTGGACAAGACTCCCGCGCGTGCGTGCTCTCGATCGTCAATAATAATCCTGCCGATGCAGGGGTCGGACAGGTATGACAAAATAGTGCACGGCTGCTGGATCGACTCCTTGATGTAGATAGGCTTCTCCACAATCTTCTCCACCTCCACGATTCTGTCGACGGGCTTCTCAACCACGGTCACCCGTTCTGTGATGAGCGGCCTGTCGACCTTGGGCCAGAGATACGCAGACAAGCCACTGCCACACACCTACCCATCACAGCCGAACACCTGTTCCTCCGACGCCAGCGGAATGGCACGCACGGGCGCAGAGCTACCGGGCCGTGGGCCGTGCAGTTCCGCTCGCAATGACAGGCCCAGGCGTGTGCAGGGGCGGGCGGAGTTCGCCGAGGGAGGGAGCACGATGCGGGTACGCGAACGCACCGACACGCAAACGCACACACGTAGCACGCGCTCACTACACGCACACACACACACACACACACACACGCACACGCACACGCACACAAACACACGCACACACGTCCGTGTGGACCAAGGGAGTCCTGCGACGACTGCGCGTACGCAAAAACAGCTGCTGCTGGAATGGTGCGGAACGGAAGCGTTTCGGGTGCGCACACTCTAACAAGCATGTGCATGCAGCCGCGCAAGTGTTGTCACATGGCCGACTCTTGAATGTAGGGGCAACGATAGGGAGGACGGGCCGACCCGAAATCGGCCATACATCGCCGATACATTGGCGATGAGCCCCCGATAGGAAGTCCGCACGCTCCTGGGCAGGTTGGGGCCATCAGACTCCTATCGGCGATCAACGGGTGATTGGGGGTCGATGCATCTCCCCCTCTGCCCATACGCCCCCTATCTTGGCGGCGAGCGGAGGGGGGAAGTGAGAAGGGGCGGGCCTTTTCACAAGGCTCGAAAGTCCCACGGCCTTTGAGAAGCTTTCGAAGTTTTCCCCGATGACAAAGAAAATTTCTCAGACGGCGCGAGCGCTTCTGAGAAGTCCCGCCGCCTTCTGAGAAGGTCTTCTCCTCCTGAATCCTCCCCTTCGCTCGCCGCCGACGATTGTTGCCCCTGATGAAACACCCGCGTCCGCTGGCCTTCCGCCGAGGAAGAGGTGCCGACTCCTTCGACACCCGCGAAAGGGAGGCCCTCCTCTGGAACGCCCCATTTTGCATGCCGCCGCGCAAAGTGTTGCCGAATAGCTGGCCGTTGCATCGACTCCTGCTTCAGCCTCGGTGGCTCGAAGATGGGGTCCTGAGGGATGGTGGGGCCTGAGGATAGGAAGGGGCCCGAGGGTGGATTTACGTTGTCTGAGGCACCCCGTCCTCGGGACCCCATCCCTCAGGACCCCACCCTTGAACCACCGACAGCCGCCAGCCTCCGCCTGTGGACCCGCTGCCGCTTCCCTTCCGCGGGCTCCCGCCGAGTGCTGGGTAGTGTCCTAGGCGAGGCCCTCGTGCTGGAGTGCCCCAGACGCTGCCTCGAGGTTGACGACCACATCGCCACATCGCCTCATAGCTGACTGACCGGCTCGCCACGAGATCGAGAGGGGCTCTCTGATCAGGCCATTTGGGACCCACCCGCACGAGCACTGTACACTGCACGAGACATTTCTGTCATGGGTATCCCCCACCGACTGAGCTTGCACTCAGGCTGTGATCTTCGCGACCGCCCCATCCCGAAAATCACTTGCAGCAAAGAAGTACACAACGGAATACGGGAGGGAAGGCACGGAATGGAGTCAAGATGCGAGGGAAGAACGGGAGGAGGAGCCGCCTCAGTAAGAGAGTGCCTCAGCATCAAATGGATTTCGCTCCTGCTCGCTCTCCAATGAAGGCTCATACCCTACACTCTGCCTCGCCTTTGGAAAGAGACGCAGCAGGACCTGCTGAGCTGGTCTGGTACGCAACGGACCACGACGAAGACTGACGGATGCAAGGGCCCATTGCCAACCCTACTCTCCCCCACGCCAACACATTTAGAACACATACAAACAGCAAGAACATCAACTAAACTTCCGACGGCCCGCTCACACTTCTTGGGTCCGCGATTGACCCCCTGCCGCCGGAGCGGAAAGCGCGCAAAAGGCGGCGCTGCATGCGCCATGGATCTCTGAACGTTTGTACTTGTACCGCTGTCTGCTCTTCGACTGAGGTTCGGAGCAGTGTCTCCGTGGCGGGGCCTCCACGCGGGTCGCACGTGTGGAGGGGCGAGGGGAAGCAAAGGGGCAGAATGCGAACGCCCTTGGCTCTATCTGCTCAACCTGGAAACCGCTCGGATCCACATGCTTGCCATCGTTCGGACGTCCATTCCCTGTGCAGTTTTGGGCTTCGTGCGTGCTATTTTTCCTGATGATCTAGGATGCTCCCAGATGGCCACGACGAAAAAAAAAAAAGCACACGTCCGAGCGATGCCAAGCATGAGGAACCCCACGGCTTGAATTTGCGCGTCTCCTGCGTGGACGCCCTGCCGTGAGGGAGCGCCGCTGCCCGAAGGGGTATCCAGCGGTCGACCTCCGAGTGCCCACAGATCCTCGCCTGTGCCAGCTGGCCCAAGCATGCCATTGCATACCCCAAGACTTGCTGCCAATCTCAGAATCCTTCTCGCTGCTGCCCACTGGCGCGTCAACGATCGTAGCGACAGCGGTTACGAATGCGATGTCTGGTCCGCTTGAAGTGGGGATCGGCTCTGCAAAGACTGAGAACAGGAGTGCTATCAGAAAGAAGCGCGGCTCGCCTCTACGATCCTCTCGATCACTGGCCTGTCGCCCACACTGCCAGGCGGCTGCATTGTCTGGGGATTCTGCGTCACGTTGTAATTCTGCGTCGCGTTGAAGTTCTGCGTCGACAGCGTCGTGTTGAAATTCTGCGTCGCATTGACATTCTGCGTCACATTGTAATTCTGCTGCGTCGTCTGGTTATTCTGCTGCGTCGTCGAATAATGCTGCGTGATGTGGGTGTCGCCCCCTGTGTGGGCGGGCTCTATGCGGCAGGCCATCCCAGAAAAAAGGAGCGAGACTAAGGATATCCATGCAGAGCTGGGAAAACATGTACGACCGTCCAGCGACCGATCTAGGGGGCTTTTGGGTGCTCGGGTTCACGGTCGCCAGGCCACCGCACTTGCTTCACTCCCACGTCGCACAAAGATGTATACATCGAGTTGAACGCTGCGTGCCTTTTTGCAGCATGCCATGTAGGATGATTTATCCTGGATCACACCTTTACTCGCATGCTTCGCACCAGACGTTGCGACTTGACCGGGGTCGCGCATCACATGCTGTATTTCACTGAATTGTCAGTTTGTCTGTAAAGGTTCCACATCTATTCCCCAAACAGTGCTTGCACTTGGGGGCTCTTACTTCGTTGTCAAAGGAAACTGATCCTGGGTGCCGGTCTGGCGGCTCCGTGGCCGCCGTCGCCGCCCCGTCGCCGCCTCGCCGCCGCCAGTCGTTTTGGCCTGGGTGCCACTTTGGCGGCTTCGCGGCTCCGTGGTCGCCGTCGCCGCCCCGTCGCCGCCAGTCGTCTGGGCCTGTGTGCCAATCTGGTGGCTTCGTGGTCGCCATCGCCGCCCCGTCGCCGCCTTGTCGCCACCCGTCGTCTGGACCTGGGTGTCAATCTGGCGGCTTCGTGGTCGACGCCGCCGCCCCGTCGTCGCCTAGATTGCCCCACATCGATTGCACCATATCTATTGCACAGAGACTCTACCCCCCCCCCCCCAGAGTCAACGGGTCACCTTTTCGTATTGCAATTTACATATGACTCTGCCCCATCGCCCGTTCTAAATATGAATTCATACTATCCCAGCCAGGCCGGTATCACTCCCCCCCGCCATCCTCTGCAAAAAAGACTATGCGCGCGCACTCGTTTATCCAAAATCATTAGTTATCAAAAACCCCTTGCAACAAATGGGACGAAGTGCGCACGCGCGAGTCGTCGCGCGCGCATGCCGACATCCTTCAAAAACGTTCGATTTCGGAAGGATTTCACAATCGAGTCTCCAAAAGAAATGCAGCAACACAGGGTTTCGCAACACTGATTTGCTAAAACAGCTTACGCGCGCGCATGCGAAATCTTAAGAAAGCCATAAGTTGTTCAAGATTTCCAAAAGCAATGCTGCGAAACGGGCTTCGCGCGCGCATGTCGAAATCTTTCGAACGCCCTTGCGCGCGTGCCGCCGCGAGGATCCTCTGCAAAAAATTGGGACGAAATGCACACTCGCGCGTCGTCGCGCGCGCATGCCGAAATCCTTCAAAAACTTTCAGTGTCGGAAGGATGTCAAAATCGTCTGCCCGAAAAACATACAAACACACAAGGTTTCGCAACACGGATTTTCAACAACAACATGCGCGCGCGCTCTTGCGTCGTCATCGTCGTCGTCGTCGCCATCCTCCCTCCTCCCTCGTCGTCGTCGTCCTCGCCGTCGTCGTCCTGTGTCTTTCCTCGTGTTCGTCGTCGTCGTCCTCTTTGGCGTCGTGGTCGTTTCCGTCGTCGTTGTCGCCGTGGTCGTCCTTCCTCCTCCCTCGTCGTCGTCGTCGTCGTCCGTCGTCGGCGTCTCGTCGTCGTCCCTCCTATTTCGTCGCCGTCGTCGTCGTCGTCGTCGTCGTCGTTCTCGTCGGCTTCCCTCCTCCCTCGTCGTTGTCGTCGTCGGCGTCGCCGTCATTCCTACTTCTTCGTCGTTCGCGTCGTCGCCGTCCTCTCTCCTCCGTCGTCGTTGTCGTCGATGTCGCCGTCGTCGTCCTCCGTCCTCCCTCGTCGTCGTCGTCTTCGTTGACGAAGGCGTCGTCGTCGTCGTCGGAGTCGGCGTCGTCGTCGTCTTCGTCGTCGTCGTCGACGTCGGCGTCGTCGTCGCCGCCGTCGTCGTTGTCGTAGTCGTCATCGTCGTCGTCGACGTCGTCGTCTTAGTCGGCGTCGTCGTAGTCGGCGTCGTCATCGTCGTCGTCGTCGGCGTCGGCGTCGTCGTCGTCGTCGGCGTCGGCGTCGTGTCGTCGTCGTCGTCGGCGTCGTCGGCGTCGTCATCGTCGGCGTCGTCATCGTCGGCGTCGTCATCGTCGTCGTCGTCGGCGTCGGCGTCGTCGTCGTCGTCGTTGTCGTAGTCGTCATCGGCGTCGTCGACGTCGTCGTCTTAGTCGGCGTCGTTGTAGTCGGCGTCGTCATCGTCGTCGTCGTCGGCGTCGGCGTCGTCGTCGTATTCGTCGTCGTCGTCGTCGTCGGCGTCGTCGTCGTCTTCGTCGTCGTCGTCGACGTCGGCACCGTCGTCGCCGCCACCGCCGTCGTCGTCGTCGTCGGCGTCGGCGTCGTGTCGTCGTCGTCGTCGTCGGCGTCGTCGGCGTCATCGTCGGCGTCGTCATCGTCGTCTTCGTCGTCGTCGGCGTCGGCGTCGTCGTCGTCGGCGTCGTCGTCGTCGTCGTTGTCGTCGTCGTCGAAGTCGTCGGAGACGTCGCCGGTGTCGTCGTAGTCGCTGTCGTCGGTGTCGTCGTAGTCTGTCCGAAGAGGTTTTGCAAACCAAGTTGCGGGTGGGTGGGTGGGATGTTTGCAAGAGCATGGGGTGTGTCAAATCATGGGTGAAAATCAACCGCACCACATAGATTGAGCAGCATCCGCCACAGTGCCTCCTTGCATGTTGAGGCGCGGAATAATGTAGCATGCTGTCTGGCAGGGTTTCCATAGTCTTCTCAGGAGCACACCCACCCCTCTCGTCGCACCCCCATCGAATGCACCAGCCGAACTCCATGAGGTCCCTGATCGGTCACGGCGCGTCCCTGGGAGCTCACGAAGGATGCCAAGACGGTCGGGGAATGCGATGAAAGCTGCCGCACGGCCGAAAATGCCTCTAAAACAACCTGAGGACTCGGAACGACGTAAAAAACAAAAAGCGTCACATGAGACGGCCTTCATATTCCTCCTTAGCGCTCCGTCCTCCACCTCCTCATCGTCATCTTCGTCTGCGACTAGGTGTTACTAACCCGGCGGCGACGACGACGACTGCTACTACTGCTACTGCTACTGCGACTGTTATTAATACGGCTACTACTACTACTACTACTACTTCTCCTCGTACTACTACTACTACTACTACTACTACTACAACGACGACGACGACGACGACGATGACGACGACGACGACTACTACTACTACTACTACTACTGATACTACTACTACTACTACTACTACTACTAGTACTACTACTACTACTACTACTACTACTACTACTACTACTACCATTACTATCACTACTTCCACTGCCACTACTACTACTACTACTACTACTACTACTACTACTATTACTACTACTACTAATACTACTACTACTACCTACTACACTACTACTACTACTACTACTACTACTACTACTACGACTACTACTCCTACAACTACTACTACTACTACAACTACTACTACTACTACTACTACTACTTATGCTACTGCTACTGCTGTAGTAGTACTAGAAATACAACAACAACAACTACTACTACTACGACTACTGATACTGCTACTGCTACTGCTACTGCCACTACTACGACTACTGAAACGACCAGAAATTCGATTACTACTAATGCTACTACGACTGCTACCTCAGCAACTACTTCTACTACTACTACTACTACTACTATGCCTATTCCTACTTCTACTACTACGACCACTACTACTACTACTACTACTACTACTACTACAACTACTACTACTACTACTACTACTACTACTACTACTACTACTACAAAGACTACTACGACTGATACTACTACTAATACTACTACTATTACTGCTACTACTACTTCTACTTCTACTTCTACTACTACTACTACTACTACTACTACTACTACTACTTGTACTACGACTGCGACCAGTAATACTACTTCTACTAACGCTGCTACTCCTACGACTACTACCGCTACTGCTACTGCTACAACCACTACTACTACTACTACTACTACTACGAATACTACTACTACTACTACCACTACTTCTACTATCGCTATTGCTACGGCTACTGCTACTACTGCTACTCAAACTGCGACTATACCTACTACTACTACTACTATTACGCATACTACTGCTACTCCAACAACTACTACCCCTACTACTACCACTGCAACTACTGCTGCTGCACTAATGCTATTACTGCAACTACCACTACCACTGCTACTGCTGATGCTACAGCTACTGCGGCTGCGAACACCACCACAACAACTACTACTGCTACCACTACGACAACTACCATTACTACTACTACTACTACTACTACTACTACTACTACTAGTACCGCTTTAACTACTACAGACGCTACTACTAATACTACTGCTACTCCTACTGCCACTACTACCTCGACTGGTACTTCGAAACTTCTACGGCTACTACCTCTGCTACTGCTCCTACTACGCCTACTACGACGACGACGGCGGCTACGACGACGACTACTACTACTACTACTACTACTACTATTACTACTACTACTACTACTACTACGACGACTACTACTACTACTCCTACTCCTACTCCTACTTCTACCCACTATTACTACTACTGCTACTACTACTACTACTGCTACTACTGCTGGTTACGATGGCTACACTTCCTACTACTACTACTACTACTACTACTACTACTACTACCACTGCTACCACTACTACTTCGACTACTACTACTACTACTACTACTACTACCACTACTACTACTACCACTACTGAAAACAACAACTACTACTGCTGCTACTATCACTACTACTAATATTACGACTACTACTACAACTATGATTACTATTGGTAAAAATACGACGACTACCACTATTACTACTATCGCTACTGCTACTACTACTACTACTACTGCTGCTGCTGCTGCTACTAATACCTCTGCTACTATTACTACCACTACTACTACTACTACTACTACTACTACAACTACTACTACTACGACGACGACCATGACTACTACTACTACTACTACTACTACTACTACTACTACCATTACT